AAGGTTGTGAGGGAGAGAGGAAGGGTGTGGAGGGAGAGGGGAAGGGTGTGAGGAGGGAAGGGTGTGAGGGAGGGGGAAGGGTGTGAGGAGAGGGAAGGGGTGTGAGGAGAGGGAAGGGTGGAGGAGAGGGAAGGGTGTGTGGTGAGGGAGAGGGGAAGGGTGTGAGGGGAAGGGTGTGAGGGAGAGGGAAGGGGTGTGAGGGAGAGGGGGAGAGGTGTGAGGGAGAAGGATGTGTGGGGGGGAGGGAGAGGGGAAGGGTGTGAGGAGAGGGAAGGATGTGTGGGGGAGGGAGAGGGAAGAGTTGGGATGATTTGATAATGGAGAGGGGTGAGTGGAAGGAGGTGAAGGTGTGGTGAGAGGGAGGAAAGTGACGCAAGAGGGATTGTGAGGGGTGAGAGTAAAGTGAGAGGGATGTGAGAGGGTGAGAGGAGGAAGAGGAAGATGAAAGGGAGAGAGGGAGGTGGGTGAAGGAGGAGCAAAGAGGGAGGTGAAAGGAGGAAGAGAGAGTGAGAGGGAGGTGAGAGGGATGAGAGGGAGGTGAGAGGATCAAGAGGGAGGTGGAAGGAGGAAAGAGAGAGGTGAGAGGGAGGTGAGAAGGAGCAAGAGGGAGGTGGAAGGAGGAAAGAGAGGTGAGAGGGAGGTGAAAGGGGGGTGAGAGGGAGGTGAGAGGGGGGTGAGAGGAGGTGGGAGGAGCAGAGGAGGTGGAAAGAGGAAGAGGCAGAGGGAGGTGAGAGGGAGGTGAAAGGGGGTGAGAGGGAGGTGGAAGGAAGAGAGAGAAGGGAGGTGAAAAGATGAGAAGGGTGGGAGAGGAGCAAGAGGGAGGTGGATGGGAAGAGGTGAGAGGGAGGTGAGAGGGAGGTGAGAGGAGCAAGAGGGGGTGAGAGGAGGGTGAGGAGGAAGAGAGGAAGATGAAGGGGGAGAGAAGGAGGTGAGAAGGGGTGAGAGGAGGAAGAGAAAGATGAAGAGGGAGAGAGGGAGGTGAGAGGGGGTGAGAGAAGGAAGAGGAAGATGAAGGGAGAGAGGGAGGTGAGGAGGGGTGAGAGGGGAGGGAAGAGGGAAGATGAAGGGGAGAGAGGGAGGTGAAAGGGGGGGGTGGGGAGACTTACTTGGTCTGGAAGTCGGCCACCATATCTCGCCTGTCAGAGATCTTGGAGAGCCGTCAGCCTCATAAACTTTTATTGCTTCCGGTGCCACATGTACTCCTGCAACAACAACAACAACAACATTATCAACACATGCTGTCAAAAGTAATCATCCACAGTCACCACCATCACCACACAGTCATCACCACACAGTCACCATCACCACACAGTCATCACCATCACCACACAGTCATCACTACCACAGTCACCATACAATCACCACCCTCACCATACCGCAGTCACCATCATCACCACAAAAGTCACTACCACCATCACACAGTCACCATACAGTCACTACCATCACCACAGTCACCACTATGACCACACAGTCACCACCATGACCACAGTCACCACCACCATCGCCACACAGTCACCACCATCACCACACATTCACTATCACCAGTCACCACCATCAACAAACAATCATCATCACCACACAGTCACCAATACCACATTCATCATCACACATTCTATCTACATTCATCAATCCCACAGTCACCACCATCACAACAGTCATTCATCATACCACAGTCCCACCATCACCACACAGCCACCACCATCACCACACATTCATCATCACCACAGTCACCACCATCACCACACATCACCACCATCACCACCAGTCATCACCATCACCACAGTCACCACCATCACTGCAGTCCCACATTCCACCATCACCACAGTCGCCACCAACACTAAACAGTCGCCACCATCACCACCAGTCACCAACATCACATATATTCATCATCCACAGTCACCACCATCACCACAGAGTCATCACCATCACCATCACCCACAGTCACCACCACCACAGAGTCATCACCATCACCACACATTCACCGTCACTAGTCACCACCATCATCACAGTCACCTCATAGTTATCACCACAATCACCATCACCACACAGTCGCCACCATCCACAGAGTCATCACCACACATTCACCGTCAAGTCACACCATCATCACAGTCACCTCATAGTCATCCACATTCTACATCACCACCATCACCACACAGTCACACCATCACCACACATTCACCGTCACCAGTCACCACCATCATCACAGTCACCTCATAGTCATCACCACACATTCACCATCCCACCACCATCACACAGTCGCCACCATCACCACAGAGTCATCACCATCACCACACATTCACCATCACCATCACCACCATCACCACACAGTCACCACCATCCTCACGTAATATTGCTTGACCTTAATCCCAACTTCCAGAAACTAGTGAGGGAGTAACTCAACCGGCTGATGGCGAGCTGACCGTCTTAATCAAGTCCACACACACACACACACACACACACACACACACACACGGCGCCATAGATCCTCAGCAATTTGGCAATATGAAAACTTCCTCCACCACTCATTGTCTTGTCAGGTTTCTTGACTACATATACCGTCATCAGGAAGAACGAAAGACGTCTGTGGCTGTCGCCTCGATTGACTTCACCAAGGCATTTGACCTAGTCGACCAGAATGTAATCATAAACAAATCTATCGACCTCAGGTTTCGTAGAAGTCTTATACCATGGCTTACAGACTTCCTTAGTGACCGACGCCAAGCCGTACGCTTCAGAGGGGATGACTCCACTTTTCAGTCACTCATCTATGGCGCCCCCCTTGGCACCAAGATGGGACTGTTCTGCTTCCTAATGCTTATAAATGATGCCCCAAGAAAAACCTCTGCTCGCTGGAAATATGTCGATGACTCCGCCATTAGGATCAGTGTCAACAACTTGGCTCCCGACTATACCGTCCTCCAGGATATATGGAATAATCTCCAAAATTGGGCCACCAACAACCACGTCACCATCATCCATATACCAAGACCATGGTTACGTACAGTAGCTAAAACAACTATCTGTGCATACTTTGCGGGAAACAATATGAGACCATGGACGATAAATTTTGGTATATGAGGGCTGTCACTAGTCACACTTAATATTTCGGAGCATATCGACCCCCACCTGCAAAGATAGTTGTTTTAGCTAATGTACAATACATCAACCTCTCTTCCGACCTTGTCCCACCTCCTACCATTTCTTTGGGCCCCAACACACTCCAGGTTGTGGATTACACCAAGCTCCTCGGCGTCACTATAGATAACAAACAAAACTGGAAAACACA